GAACAGCCCTGCGGAACAGCCCCGCGGCCGCCGCCATGACCAGCACCGGCACCGCACGGACAGCGGGGCGGGAAGGGGGCCGGGCCGGGGCGGGGCGGGGAAGGGAGAGGCTGCGCGCCCTGTGTCTGTACGGAATCAACTACGTGAGGAAAGACCTCTGAGATCATCGAGTGCAACCTGTGAGCCAACACCACCGTGTCAGCTAGACTGTGGCGCTAAGTGCCACATCCCGTTTTACCTTAAACACCTCTAGGGACGGCGAGTCCACCACCTCCCTGGACAGCCCGTTCCGATGCCCAACGCCCTTTCTGTGAAGAAAGTCTTTCTAATATCCAACCTAAACCTCCCCTGGCACAGCTTAAGACTATGTCCTCTTATTCTGTCACTCGTTGCCTGGAGAAGAGGCCGACCCCCATCTGGCTACAACCACCTTTCAGTTGTAAACTCTAGGGAGTTGTAGAGAGTGATAAGGATCCCCCTAAGCCATCAGCCTAAACAGTTCCAGCTCCCTCAGCTGCTCCTCATAAAATTTCTGTTCCAGCCCCTTCACCAGCTTTGTTGCCCCTCTTTCGACATGCTCCAGCACCTCCATGTCTTTCCTGAATTAAGGGGCCCGGAAATGGACACAGTATTCAAGATGCAGCCTCACCAATGCTCAGTAGAGGAGAAGAATCACTTCCCTAGTTCTGCTGGCCACACTATTTCTGACCCAGGCCAGGACGCCATTGGCCTTCTTGGCCACCTGTGCACACTGCTGGCTCATGCGTGTCTGTACAGGGGAACCTGCCCTCGCCGGATGCCATGGGCCAGTGCAAGGGCCCTGTAACCATCCTGGCTGGATACCCCCCGTCTGGGTGCTGCGGCAAGGAGAGGTAACTCTAGAGGGAGTTCCAGGGTACAGCAGTCCTCCCAGCATGGCGTTGGGAGAGCGGGTTCTGCTGTTCTTGTGCCCCTGAAACATTTCTCCGTCCTGCTTTCAAATAACTTGGTATCATCCCTGCAGCTACTTGGGGCTGCATAGTCACTGTGTGAGTAAAGACTGGTACAGGGTCAGGCATGGCTGGAATAGGGGTAAAGATGTATTTTATTGAGCTGTCCTGTGAACCGTGTGGAATTGCTCTCCTGTGTATGGCATTGCTCGTTTTGTACTCACAGTAATGAGTTTTTAGAACCTGACTACTTTGTGGGACCACCAGTTTAGTGCAATGGGAATATTCCCCATGAATCTTAGAGGGTGCATGCTTATACCTTCTTTGTTTTCTGTAAAGTTGAAGCACATTTTCTTTCCTAATAAAATAGAGGAACTAGAGATATGTGTGCGGTCACAGGGCTTTGATCTCACTGCGATTACAGAGATGTGGTGGGATAGCTTGGATGACTGAAATGCTGTCATGAAGGGCTACACACTGCTTAGGGGAGGCAGACCAGGCAGGCACAGTGGTGGAGTTGCCCTCTATGTGAGGCAACCCTTGGAATGTATTGAGCTCTGTCTTGGAGTGGACAACGAGCAAGACTTTTGGGTTAGGGTAAAGGGGCAGACCAGTAAGGGTGACATTGTTGTGGGTGTTTGCTACAGACCTCCTGGTCAGGAGGAGGAAGTGGAAGAGGCCTTCTACAGGAAGCTTGAAGCAACCTCACAGTCACAGGCCCTGGTTCTGGTGGGGGACTTTAATTTCCCTGACATTTGCTAGAGAAGCAACAGGTGACAAAAATTATCAAGGGACTGGAGCATTTCTCTTAGGAGGAAAGGCTGATGGGTCTGAGTCTGTTCAGTGTCAAAAAGAGATGGCTGAGAGAGGACCTCATTAAGAAATGGTTCCAAGAGGATGGAGCCAGGCTCTTCTTGGTGGTGCCAAGCAATAGGACAAAAGGCAACTGGCAGAAACTGATGCACAGGAAGTTCCACCTGAACACGAGGAAGAGCTTCTTTACTGTGTGGGTGCCTGCACACTAGACCAGGTTGCCCAGAGAGGCTGTGGAGTCTCCCTCACTGGAGATATCCAAGAACAGTCTGGAAGCAATCCTCTGCAATGTGCTGCTCTAGGATGACCCTGCTTGAGTAGGGAGGTTGGATCAGATGACCCACAGTGGTCCCTTCCAACCTGACCCATTCTGTAATTCTGTGAAAATAAGAATTCAGAATAATAAAGAAAAGGGCTGTGTAGAGCCAGATGTTGAAAGGTATTGCATAAAAAGGCCCGGCTCTGCAAGGTTTGTGCTCTGGTATGGGACTATTCCTTGGACACAGTGAGCTTCTGGTATTTCAGGACTGATTTGCACTTGTAGTATCCAAGAGTAGGTCAGTTTCAAAGGTGGCTCTGTGGAAGGCATGGAGACTGATCCTGTTATGTATCAGGGCTTTGTTATCTGCCTCTTTTCCTTGTAGGGTAATTGGGGTGGGGGAGGGAGTGTCTGTCTGAATAAAGCGATAATGTTTGCTTGAAGGCTCAACCTGTTTTCTCATTTCTGATATGATTCTGCTCTTTGGCAGCAGAGGATGCTGTGAAGCTGCTGAAGCGCTGCAAGGAAGAGTGGAAGATCTCTGAGCTGTGCTCTCTTCTGCCAACATCTGGAGGACAGGATCCCTGATGAGCCAGGAAACCTGACCCACTGCAGGTAGGAGTGAAGGAAGGAATGCGTTGTTATTTGCAGAAGAGATCTGTGGCTGAGAGAGAAGGGCACTACCATCTTAGGAGCTTTGTCTGCTCTGAGCAGCTCTTTCAGCCATTCTTTATCCAGGGCTGGTTGTGATAGCTCAGTTTCTTCTTGAATTGCATCTACTGGATTTATCGAAACATTGTCATGATAGTGTGCATTGTGCACTTCCTCTGCTACTTACTGTAGTAAAGCTCTGCTCTTTGACTGGGATTCTTAAATGCTATTAGAATGAAAAGAAAAATTAATAAAGCTGAGGCCAAGACAAGTAAAACACATTCATGCTGATTTAGTGTGTTGGTAGTTTTTTTCTGTATTAGGCTGAATGCAAGCTTTGATTGATAACATCTGGTAATTCAGATGGATGGGACCTCTGGAGGTCTCTAGTCCAACCCCAGGGGTTCACAGTTCCCAGGCTGGATGAGGTTGTGCAGGGCTTTCCTTGTCCAGCTGCATTTAGGAAACCTTTTCCTCGTTTTGTCTCAGCTCCTGCCTCAGCACTCCACCACCCTCCCTGGGAAGGGTTTTTTCTCATATCTGATGAGACTTTCCTTTGCTGCAAACAAGTTAGTCCATCAGCTTGCTCTTGCTGCTGAATTGTAGAAGCACGACTGCTTTACAGCCTGGTTAGGCTACACTCTGGTGGAGGTGAGGAGGAGTGACAGAGTGTAAAACACTCTTACTGTTGCTGTGCTGAATCCTCTCACATTAGCTCCTTGTGAGGACCTCGTCTATAACAGCACGTTAAGACTGCAACTTCAGCCAAATGCCACGTACTTTCACTTTGCAGCAGTGGAGAAGGTGCAATAAGCAGACAGTGCATCAAAAATGGCACCTTGCACAGGAGATATTTTTGTAGCCTTATTTATATGTGTACGACCAAATTGTGCTGGCAGGTGAAAAATAGCATTGTAGAGAGTAGTTCAAGCTATGTTTTTCAGTATTTTAACTCAATGTGATGCTTCACCACGTTATTTCTGGTTACTTCTCTTTAAAGTGCTGAGAATAGGAGCATGTACTGATGTGTGTGAGATGCTCAACAGTGATATGAGGCAAAAAAATGACAGCTTGCATTTTGATCTGCATTTGCAGTGCATGGTGTTGGTATGAAGGGTGGGCTTTTCTGTGGAAATAAAGGAAGAGGAAGAAGGCACCCAGAGCTAAAAAGGAAAACCTGGAATTGGTTCTTGCACTTAAGTGAACAAGAATTGAATCTGAGGAATTGTACCTTGTGCGTTTAGTGTGCCAGGCAAAATTTCAAGGTCTTGACTTCCCTTGAAATCTCTGTGTCAGTTTTTAAAGTCTGACTGAAATTTTGTATGGTGAAACGACTTTGAATATTGTATCTCTCCATTTTCATACCTATATGTGTAGCAAGGGTCTTGTGTTAGGTTTTGTTTCCAATGACAGTGAAGCCATTTAAATTTGCTTTGTAGCCAAGACCTCTACTGATGCAAATGTGATTCTAGAGCAGGTTGTAGGGGTATAGCAATTTCAAGAAGATTTGAAGAACTGTACTTTTATCTACAGTTTCATGTAAGGTGACCTCCTACGAAGAAAAGAGTATTGATAATTTTATTTCTTCTTTTTTGTTGTTTTTGTTGTTTTACCTATACTTTAAGAGAGCTCTGAAGCTTCTCTGCTGCTTATACTTAGGTGCTGTCTACCCTGGATTTCTTTTCTTTTTTTTTTTTTTTTTAAATGAGAATTTATGCACAAAGAGGATATTAACCAAAGAACAAGAGACACTGCATGTTCTAAGGTAACAAAACACAATCAGGCCTGATTCAGACTGAGACAGGCACATGCTTTCACTAAGGCTGTTTGATACTTTTATTTTGAGCACTAAATTAATGCAGTTGCTTATCAGAAAATGGGAAGGAAAAGATGCGTTGAGAACAGGAAAATTTATCATCAAGTTGGCATTTCTGTTACTTCTAAAGTTAAAAGAACCAATCTCATCCAGTTTATCACACAAAGCATTTATTGTGACTTCAAAAAGATTCTGAGGGCTTGCAAAGTTAGACAAGTACTCTTATTTAACAGAGGTCCTCTCTAAGGTTTTGCATGACAGTACAAGTTGAATTAAGTTATTATCTCAGTATGATTATAGTGAGAGAGAAGTAAAAGCTTTGGTGACTGAGCTGAAACAGTAGGCAATGTGAACGTTATAAGAGGAAGAAGAAAACCTTTCCTTTTACATCTGTCATCTCAGTAATTTGGCAGGTTCATAAGAACCTGGAGGCAGGTTCATAATAATCCCCCTTTTATTCTTTGCACTTTTTTTTAATGCAGGATTGATTCTCCTGGATGAATGAAGGAGGGAAAGGATAGCTACAGAACAAGAAGCTGCTGTGCTGGAATTCCTTCAGGCTACCTCCTGGAAGGTGAGTTATGCCATGCCTTAGGAAAACCTTTCTTCTTCTAATGATTGATCACCTTTCCATAGTTTTAATAAAAGAGAAGTGAAAAAGTCAAATGTAGCATTGCCCAGACAGTGAGTCCCCTAAAGATGTTTGCAGTAACAATCAGGCTGTGCTTAATCTCCTCTGGAAATGTATTAGCACTCCAGGTCAGGTACTACATCTTTCCAGCGATGAGAGATTTGTCCACTGTTTCCCAATTCCTCTGTGCCCTTCCTTCAGCTCTGTCTTCAGATTTACTGTTACATAGCACTATCTTCATAAAACATCAGGAATTTTCCAAAAACATATTGCAAACATATTGCATATGTGACTTCACCCAGGCTAAAAAACCAAAGCACGACCTTCTCTTCCAGGCTTCCAAGGAAGGGGAAAGAATGAGCAGAAGTGATCTGTTGGAGAGAATTATTTTCTAGTACCGAGATCCAGGCCAAACACACTACTACCCTGCCCTAGTGCCACAGTGTTGTCTTTTTTTTTCTCGCAGCCACTGTAGCTGTTTTTACACACTAAATGTAATGTTTACTGTTATAGAAGTTCATCCAAAAGCCAAAATACACACCCTTCTGTCTTCCTTGGAATAATAGGTACATATGTTATGGTTAAGCTGAGTTAGCTCGCAAGTCTTAAGAGATGTGTCTGCAGCTATTTCTCAGTAACAGACATACTCTGTGACACTGTAACTGAAACTAACGTCTGGGCAGCTCTACAGGGCTCTAGAGATTTATAGTCTTTGAAAAGCTTTTGTACAACTATGGAGCTGAACTTTGAATCTGTAGATTTAAAATCGTGCTTATGCTTCCCTAAGTTCAGTAGTGCCCATCAAGAAGCCTTGATTCTAAGGGTGTCAGAGGGAACTATTCATTTTATTATGGTGTAAAATAAGACCTTTCCTACTCTTGTGAGAAAGATGCTAAAACTTTTCTCTGTGGTAACCTCAGCAACTTGGGTTACAAGAACTGCAGTACTTAGTATTTTGTGTGTCCGTAACCTTTCCTGGTGTAAGGAATGGTGGCACAATGAAAGCTATGCTTTAGGTTCTAGTTCATCTTTAATCAACTGGAGTAAATCGTGTTCACATCAATACTTTGTAAATTGCTCACATTTCTTTTATAGACCTTGCTGTGGTTTTCAAGATTTTTAAATTAGAGAACTTCTCAATCTGTATTTGCTGATCAGATTTCTGTACGACACACATAAGTGAATGTCACATAGTATTCAGCAGGGTTTTTGAACAGTTACAGTTATCAAAGTAGAAATCTTAGGAAGGAAGTAGCTGTATTGGTGCCACTGCCCAACACAGGATTAGCCCGAAGGCAGTGACAGGGAGGGTTATGATGCATATGTGGAGAGTCAAAAGGGGGCTTTAGGACAGGAAAGCAGTTTCCATTGAAAAAGTATTAAGTTCACCCTTTCTGACAAGGAAGATGACCCTTATAAGAATTGTGGACAGTACACAAGAGGGGTGTTGTGGTCATTTTAAATCTGGCAGGTTGGGACTCATGATGATCCCTGGCTGAGGCATTTTTAGCCTGGCACTGTAGGACTAGTTTACCACCTGGTGGAACTCTAGGCTTATTGCACCATCTTAATATCACCCTTACACTCTACTGCAGGGGTAAGGTCGGGAAGGAATTTTACAGTAAAGAAGATAAACTGATTTTCCTGCCTTGCCTCCCAAAAACTGATGGTAAGGCCTGTTTGGTACATTATTTGCTGTCAAGATACTCTTTCCTCACGCTGTTAGTGCATAGAAGTTATAACTACAGGTTTTGCCATGGCCAATATTCAATTACCAGATCTAACTATTTGACCTGACTAAAAGCAAGCCAAATCCAAAAGCAAGATGCCAGATGATACTTCTGCCAGATACCTTCCCAGACTATGCATGTTTTCACTTGAGAGATTTCCTGGATCTGGTGTGACAGATCTAGTTAGTGACTATAAACAGGTCTCTTCTAAGTGTTTGTTCAGTCTCTGTTGAGGATTTTCTGCAGCTAGAAAATCCTTAGGCAAAGAGCATGGTGGTTTGTAGGGCTGTCTAGAACACAGCTTCTCTTAGCATTGTTGATGGCTTCTCATTCTTGAATATCTGAAGAGACAGTGAAGACTTTTTCCTGTATATGCCATCAGGCCTCCCAAAGGTCTCTTCTCTAGGGTGGAGAATCCTAACCCTTTAGCTCCTTGAATGGTGACCACTGTCACCTTGTGCAAAGTATGTGTCAGGAACACATCGGTTACCTGTGAAAGGCATGTATTTCTCAAGTGAAACACTGCAGATCTGCGTCAGCAGCTTAGGGGATTTCTAAACTAACCCACTGTCTTTAGTGGTTTTCTCTTCTCTCAGAACTCTGAGAAAGAACAACGTTTTGTTTCTGCCTGGTTTGAAAAAGAGCACCTTAAAAGGCCAGCTAATGAATGTCTCGGCAGCACTCTGATTTCAGTCTTGCCCTAAGAGAGAATCATCATCTGTTGAATCACAACTTTCACTTGCTTTGTTCCCTGAGTTTCTTAACCTTTCTTCTCACATTGGTCTAGCTCTGTGGATGGGGCAATGTCACCAAAGCAAAATATCACACTAGAGATGAGCCTAGGGACTGTAGGGACAAGTCTAGACAGGAACCTCGGGACTGGGCTAGAGTGGAGAAATGGAGCAGGCCCCATACAGATGAGGCTATTTTGGAGGAGAGCAGACAGCAAAGGCAGAGAGCAGAAGTTTCTAGGGGAAGTTTGTGACAGTTAGTTTGGAAACTACTAACATTTTTTAAAAGTTGGTTTTCCAAAGTGGGCTGAACTACTGCAAGGGAGTCCTCTTGGGTAGTGTGGTTTGCAAGGGCTGAAATGGATTAGAGTCAGTGTATTGAAAACCACAGAATCAGTTTCTTACTGAGAAGAGTGTCTGTCCAGAACTTCCTCTCTACAGCTCCCTACCAGAGATCTCAAAAATGCTGATAAGGTGTAGGACGTTGTAGGGCAGCTGCACCATCTCAGCCTCAGACTTCCTTTTTTGTTTATTTAAGTAACTTGGCCTTCTTGCCAGAGCATGCCTTGTCATGAGGCATTTAATTGTCTTTTCAGCTTTTAGACGAGTGTCCCAAACAATACTGGATCTCAGCACTGCATTATTTTCCCTTTTGGGAACTTCTTCAGTTTCATTCTTTTTCAGTGTAATAAAACCCAGAGCCCTGCCCCGATGCCATCCTTCCCTGTTCTTCAAAACTGCTTTGAAAATCCCTGGCTAGACTTATCACGTGCTCATCACTGGTTTTCCCCAAAGGTTCTGTATCTCGTGGTAACACAAGCCCTTAGGATTGTTGTCTGGATAGTACTTCTCATGAGAGAGCTGTTTTCTACTCACTCTTGTGTAAAACTGCAACTTTTCATTTCCCACAAGTGTCAAACTTTTCCTCTCTCCTGGAGATAAAGGCATGATGCACTAGCTGAATAGTTCCATTGCCTCACCCTGGTATTAGTCTAATCCTTCTCCATCATTGTGATCTGTTTTGTTATATTTAACTGTAAGAACAGATATTGGACAAACAATATTCAGCAGTCTTAGAACTGTGCATCAAGTCCTTGTGGAACATTATTTGAACTGTCCAACGTAACAGAAAATGGAATTATTTTTAGTACTGCTGTAACATTTCTCTGGATAATTCCAAGCATTTTATCAGGGTTAATACTTCCTATTAGTACTCTGGAATTATGGAAGATACTGCTCTAAAAACATAGTGACTCATTCCCGCTACCTTTTCATGGCATTTTTGTCAGCTTCATGAAAGCATGAACATTTTAGAGTGCAGAGAGGTTCCTCGAAGAATAATCTTGGAATACAGAAAATAGACAAGGTTTTTTAGTTCTTATCATTTTTAAACTGACTGATTTCTTGCTAATTTGAAGTCAATGTTATCTGTAGCTCAGTTATTTCAGTTGCACTTTTGTAAAAGACAAATTACTTAACTGTTCACAGTTTTATATGTTTTAAGTTTTGCTGTAGTCTTTCTTGTGTAATTTTTGAGAAGTTCTCCATAAACTCAGATGGAAAGTTACAGCTTGCATTGAACAGTTTGATATATTTAATTGACTTGTTCAGCACTGAGGAATTTGGATCTTGAAAAATGTCTCCACTAGCATGTTTTCCAGCCCTTCCTGGAAGTACTGGAAGGTGAACTCTAACAGCTGTCATTCATTAGCTCGAGCAGTTTCTTTGTTTCAAGTACAAAACCCTGGGCTTATTCTGCAGAGAATCCTGCTGGATCCCTGCAGAGTTTGGTTATTATTTAGTAAGTTCAGAAACTGTTGAGATTCCATGTAATTCTTTTTCTGAAAGTTTTCCCAATAATTTGTAGGCATGGTGATGGCAAAAGATAAAACCTATGTTTTATCTTTATGTTCTTTGTTTTGTCTCAGATCCCCTTCTTCATTTCTACATTTAGTCCCTGCTCCAGCAGAGTGTTGTGGGACAGATAGTGGTGATAGTGGTTCTACTGCTGATGACCTGGTATTTAACATATGGTCTGTAGGTGATTAGGGAGGGGATTATTCTATCACAGAACAAGAAGTCAGAGTGCCTATTGAAATTACCAGGCAGCAGCTTTAAATCAAACACAGGCAAGTTCTCTTTATATAGCACAGTAGAAATAAACCAAGACTGATAGGCACAGGGTGTTACAGAGACCAGGGTTGCATATGGACTTAAAAAATGAATTAAAAAAACCAGAGAGGCTTTTACATGCACAGATGCAAAACCAGCCTCTGGCTCTGGCTGTCCCTGAACACCAAATTACCAGATCTCACTAGGGTATATTAAAGGAAGAGTCAATCATGTCCTGTTTTTCATACTCTTTCCCAAAGTACCCATCCCTGGCCACTGACAGAGGAAGGAGCCTGGGTTTTTACAGATTTGGTCTTTTTCATTGTGACTGTCCTCATGCTATTGATCCCCTATATCTGTGAAGGANGCA